TCTCTCTCTCTCTCTCTCTCTCTCTCTCTCTCTCTCTCTGTGTGTGTGTGTGTGTGTGTGTGTGTGTGTGTGTGTGTGCCTCCCCACTGCGCTATCTCGTATAACTAGTCCGTGCCTCGTGAAGCGCCCCAGTGGTCCTCCCAGACAAGGCGCCGGTTCTCAGTACCTAGACAGACTTTCGACAGCAGCCAGCGTGTAGAGGTTGCGGCTAGAAGGTAAGCTCATGGAGGAGGAGGAGGAGGAGGAGGAGGAGGAGGTGAGGTGGGTTTTGCATCAGCACAGTTGACCAGATTCCAGGCCCTCCATCGCTCCCCGGCTGGCACCTCTCTCCTCTCCCCGACGTGTGTATGTCATGACATCCCGCTGTTTTCCCCTTTGCTCTCACACTGCATTCTCGTTACTCTCCGCCGGTTTCAATCGCACAAGGTTTTTGTTGACTGGCTCTGTTTCTTCTTCTTCTTTTTTTTTTAATTTTAAACTAAGCGATATTCTTCTCTGAATCTATCTATGTACTCATCATCTATTCTCATCTATTTCATCCTCTCCCTAGTATATGTATAGTACGGGGAAAGGGACTGGGTGTTCTCTTCTTAAGAGTGCTCTTGCGCCACCCACACACTTTAAGAGTTGCCCCCTCTCTCCTCCCACTGCTGAGATTCAACTGTGTTCGCGCACGCGTGCACGCACACGCGCATGCGTGTGCATGTGGGTGCGGTAGGGAAGGGGGGGACAACTTGGACAAGACAGAATGATCAATCTGATGCGGTGACCCCTGGCCGGCACCTCTCTCCCCGACTTCGGTCTACCGTCACATCCCCGCCGTTCTCTCTTTCCTCACCGCTCTCCTTAACAGTGTTAACACCCTCCCAGGGCCAAGTCCCGCATACACACATATCCTTCATTTCCAACCTTAGAGTGCGGAGATCCACGGTCAGGAATGAATACTTACTTTCGGCAAGTGGGGCTTGGCTCCGGGTCAGAAGCCGTTTCAATCAGAGAAGCCGTTTTTACATTACAGTAATTTTTGTTGACTGACTCCGTTTCTTCTGGACTGGGTGTCCTCTCTTTAAGGGCGCTCTTGCTTCCAAATTGCAATGCCCCACCCACACACTTTAAGACCTCCGAGTCTGTATCCCGATCTCTTTCTCCCAGTGCTGAGATTCCTCTCTGTTCGCGGCGCGCGCGCGCGCGCGTGTGTGCACGCGCATGCGGGTGCGGTAGGGAAGGGAGGACAAGACATACTGTATTATGCGGTGTGCGTCTCCTTTGATGGGATGGAGTCTGACTTTTAATTTTGAAAGACCGAGGCGATTCAATTTGGTTCAGCGATCGATTGCTCGTCGTCAATCTGACATGATCGCATAGTGATGAGTCTGATGACGCGGGGTATGGTTGTGGTTATGATTACTGTATCTTTGGCTCGAACCTCTCTGTAATAGTAATTGCCTTTTGAAAAACTTGAGGTGAAACTTGATTGCCTTTAGCAGCAGCAGCAGCAGAAGAAGAAGAAGAAGAAGAAGAAGAAGAAGAAGAAGAAGGCGAAAAAAACTAAGTGTTTTTTACCTGTTTTTTTCCCCCAAGTTGTCTACTCAGTCTCGTAAATTTCTACTGGCTGGTAAATTTCTACTGGCATTAATTAATTAATTAACTGGTACTGATGCAACCAACCGTACAGTAACTATGGTCGCGAATGGATTCGGGTGCCAATGTGGTGAATAAACAACATTGGCTTTTTTAAGGATTTTTCTTTGCCTACCGGTAGTTTCTTTCGCAATTATTAACCACATTTTGCATAATTTTTCATCTTGCCAATATGTATTGCCTTCTTTCTGTAAAGCTGTGCAAAGCTAATATTAGCTTATTAAGAGGAAAAGGAGGGCTTTTTATTGTCCTCCCTCCGTTTTGTTTTGGTTTTTGTCCTTCCTCTTTTGTTGAAATAACGTGAGGGAAGCTGGGGGGGGGGGGGGGGGGGGGGAGCGGGTAAGGGGGGTTTCTGCGAGGCGGGGGAGGGATTTTCTCAGATTTCCCGAAGAAATACGTTTTTTTTTTTGTTTGTTTTTCTGTAGTTGAAAACTCAAAGCTGTACTTGGAAGGGGGAGGAGAGGGGATTTCCCGAGATCCGAAGAGTGAGAATGAGCGAGGAAGACGAAGGGCGTGAGGAGGGAGAAAACGGTGAGGAGGGAGGAGGAGGACGTTGGACGAAGCCGGAAAGGAAAAGAAGCGCGAGAGGAAAACAAGGAAAAGGAGGAAAAATGGATCGATGAATACAAATAGGAAATTCGCGTAGCCTCCTTTTCCTGTGCCGACCCCTCTCATTTCCTCCCCCCCTCCTCCTCCTCCTCCTCCTCCTCGTCGTTATCTTCCTCCCTCTCCTTCTTATCATTGATCATCAATCGTCATAATTGTGATCACCATGACGACCGGTTGCAATCTCTAGAGTCCAGATTATAGTACGGCTCCTCGTTTTCCGCCTCCTTCACCCGTCGATTGATGTGTCATCAACGGCCACCACTTGCTGGATGTCTGGAAGAGGAGGAGGAGGAGGAGGACGAGGGAGAGGAAGAGGAGGAGGAGGTGATGGAGGGAGGGGGAGGAGTAGGTGGAGCAAGACGAGGAGCAAGAAGAGAACGTGGAGAATGTTCAAAATGCCGATCGACGGCAGAATTTAATGTTCAAATGCCGATTGAAAACTGGTCGATGAGGACGGCGAGGAGGAGGAGGAGGAGGAGGAGGAGGAGGAGGAGGAAGAGGAGGAGGAGGTAGAGGAGGTGGAGTGAGAAGGAGAGTCAAAGATGAGGAGGAGGAGGAGGAGGAGGAATAATAAGGTTAATGAGGAATGAGGAAGAAGAAGACAAGCGCTCTTGAAAAAAAAAAAAAAAAAAAGGAAACAAAAGCAGAGAGGTCAACGGGACAGATAGTCAACGGGAAGCCCTTGAAGTTTGAACTGCTTGTAGACAGTCGCCAAACGAACACTACAGTCTTCCCTCGAATACAACGTACGGTCATTATAGCTGAATTTGGTGTATCTTTCCGTCTAAATTCAGCTATAATGACCGTACGTTGTATTCGAGGGAAGACTGTAGTGTCCAAATATTATGAGGAGAGAGAAGTCGTAGAGCCTTTTTTGAAGTTTGAACTGCCTGCCATCTCCTAGCTACACTGAAGGCTCACTGGCACGTGCTGGGCGGTCATCATTCTGCTCAAATTATGCCTCTGCGCGACATTTTGCTTTTTTTCTTGGTCGTCGCCCACCTTTCATTCACTGAGTGAGTCCTTACTTCCACCATTCTTTTTTCCCCTTCCTTTTCGGGGGTTGGCAGTCTGAAACATTATTGCATACGTGCGGTTTTGAACTCGTGACTGGTTACTGAACAGTCACATGTGTCGACCATTCAGCCACAACGTAGCTTTTCGGTTTCGCCGTTGCTCTTTCACATCCTTTTTTTTTTTTTTTTTTTTTTTTTTTTTTTTTTTTTTTTTTTTTTCGTTCCACCTCACAGAGGGAGGAAACCACCCCTGTCCCAAAAAAAAAAAAAAGAAAAGAAAAGAAAAAAACAAAACCTGAGCGAATGACCCCAGGGGCGAAGTCGCACAGCCATAGCAGCGAGGATTGGACTAACTGCCCGAATCTGGATGGGTTTTACACGGAGGTACAGAAAAGCAGAAAAAATGACTATTTTCTGCACCTCTCTTTCTTGTGTGTGTGTGTGTGTGTGTGTGTGTGTGTGTGTGTGTGAGTGTGTGTGTGTGTGTGTGAGTGTGTGTGTGTGTGAGTGTGTGTGTGTGTGTGTGTGTGTGTGTGTGNGAGAGAGAGAGAGAGAGAGAGAGAGAGAGAGAGAGAGCGGGAAGTGGGGGGGGGAGAGGAGGGGAGGCGTTCATTTACATATATATATGAAATTATGCAGAGAGAAGCACAAGAAACTTGCTTACTTTCTTTCTTTTCTCGTGTTCGCTTTCTATGATGCGGAATTGCAAAATTGTATGTTGAGTTTTATCCCTCCTCTTTGTTATTATGATCGGGGATCGGAGATCGGGGATTTGGTACCATGCATGCGGACTGCTGTTTCCTTTTGCTACTGCCGTTGTTTTTTCAACTTATTTGTTCTATAACTTACTTTTTGTTTTTTGGTACTGCATCTAATACATCGCGAGCAACGATCGTTATAATTGTGGTTGTCGTCCTCGGGGTGCTTCCACCAGCAGCTTCTGCTTCTGCTTCTGCTTCTGCTTCTGCTTCTGCTTCTGCTTCTGCTTCTGCTCTTCTGCTTCTGCTTCTGCTTCTGCTTCTGCTTCTGCTTCTGCTCTTCTGCTTCTGCTTCTGCTTCTGCTTCTGCTTCTGCTTATGCTTCTGCTTGTGCTTATGCTTCTGCTTGTGCTTCTGCTTGTGCTTCTGCTTCTGATTGTGCTTCTGCTTATGCTTATGCTTCTGCTTATGCTTCTGCTTATGCTTATGCTTATGCTTATGCTTATGCTTTCACGTCTAATGGGGCTCGGCGTCACTTTCGTGTCATTGAAATATATCTTAGCGTCATTGAAATATCTCAATTGATGCGGTTGGGCTCGGGGTTTTACTCTTTTCTCTTGTCTTGTGTGCTTCTTGTTGTATCAATGCCGCTTCTCTTATTGCAATAAGTGCTTGCGTGCACTTATTAACGCTATAATGTATGTTGCTTCATCTGCCCTCGGGGGCTATAACTCCCACTACCGGGGGTTGAGGCTTGGTTTCGAGAGCGCAGCGGGTCCTGCCATCGGATCTGAACATCTCAACAAATACTCGAAAGGGTAAACACTGCAGTACAGAAAAAAAAAAAAAAAAAAAAAAAAAAAAAAAAAAAAAAAAAAAAAAAAAAAAAAAAAAGAAGAAGAAGAAGAAGAAGAAGAAGCAGTTTGAAATTACTACGCTCCAGGCATTCCCCCGAACACAGCACACCCCCAGGCAACCCTACCTGACCCGAAAGCTAGCTTGTATACATTGCCCGAAGTGCGATTTGAAACTGTCTTTTTTTTGCCTGAAGTGTACTTTCAAACTCTTTTTGTGACTCCCGCGCGTAGTTTCGCGATACTCGAAGGGAAGCGGGACTAAATCCCCGATACATTCAAAAAAAAAAAAAAAAAAAAAAAAAAAAATCCCCGATACGGTAGTGGGAGGGACTTAGCGGCGAAGTTAGCGCCGTCCGGCGGGGGAGAAGCATCCTTATTGTGGTTTGGCAATAATATTTAATGTTTAATATTTATTTTGACTTGACATTTCCAATTGTTTGTGGTGTGATGATTTATTTCCATTTGGATCGTCTTCCTGTATTGCTGCCGCAGCCTCCGCCATCGTAGTACTAGTACTACAGTGCTCAGTGCAGGCTACAGCCAACCAAGTAAGTTGAAGTAATAAGTGCTGTTAAGGAAAGCCAGCAGGGCAGGACGACGACAACGTCGACAAGGCAACCAAAGAAAGACAGGACGGAGGAATCCAGTTGTGCAAACCAACCGTCGGCATTCCAAACGCAAGAATAGACCCCCCCCTCCTCCTCCTCCTCCTCCTCCAGGCCTCCTCTTCCTCCTGTGGTCCATCGCCCATAATTTTCGGAGTAGACGTCATCTCATCTCCGAGTCGTTGAATTCTACAAGATGATGCCCGTGATCTCGCTCGCTATGACTCTGCTCAGTTACTACCTGAGCTACGGAGATCAGTTGTTCGGAATCAAGTCCGACAATGTGGTCACATTCATCAGGCTAGGGCCTGCCGGAGGCAGATTCAACGCCGTGTACGAAGCGGAGGGATGCACAGACACCAGCTGGATCGGAGAAGGTTTCTTCGACGGCTGCATGGAGTCGTACGACTCCACGAAGGAAGACGAGGATATCTCGTGCGATAAATTTCTGCACCGAGTGTCCTACTCTCCCTATCCCAACGGCGAGGGCAGGATCGATATAATCGATATGTCAATTTCGATGGGTGAAGCCATTACTGCCGCTCGCACGCCTTTACGGTTTTGGCCGCAGCAGCTGTGCAATTCGACTTTTTGCGGCTCCTGCAGAGACATAGGGTGGGGTTTTTTTGAGGTCCCGATGCTTGTGGACGGGGTGGTAGTGAATACCACGGACCAGTTCAGGACAGGGGTGTCGAGCACGAACGAGATGGTGTACTCCTTGCCGGCAGACAAGACGCTGGTGTTTCAGACGGGGGCTTGGAGTAGCGTGGCTGCCATGAGTTTGGTGGAGCAGCAGCGGTCATGCACCGCCAACTTCTCGCTAGTGGAGCTGGTCTCGAGCGAGGCCCATAGCTGCAGGAGGAGGAGGAGCAGGAGGAGGCTGATGAGTAGAGAATTGCTGGCCGATGTGGCAGTTGAACCCTCGGAGGGGTCCAGGAATGAGCATATGGTCCTGACCAGCAAGGCCCTGTTCGGCAAGAAAAAGACGGTGCCCATCACGTTCCACGAGAAGGACGCCGTTCACGTGGGACTGAACAAAACCGTCGACCTGCACGTCACCGTGTACGTTCCCCCGCATGAAAGTCGGCGCTTTCTGCTGGCAGATGCTGGTCATGCCGCCGAAGACCGGGGGATACTGCACCGTGCCTGTCCCGGCTGCGTCCAGTTTCTCCGAACCAACTTCCAAAACCTCACCGGAAGGCTGAGCGCACACATCAATTGACCAGCAGCAGCAGCAGCAGCCTGCGCAGCAGAAGCTGCGCGTGTTTCCGACTTACTTTGAGCAGGACACATGACATGACGACGCAGCATATAATATACACTACACACACAAGGGATGGGCAGGCCGTATCGTATCGTATCCGACCGGCCACTGCTCACTGCTCACTGCTCAGTTAGTTGGGAGGACACACGGGGGTGGGCCGCGCAAGGGAAGGGTCACGGGTGTGAGGGTGGCCTCCTGAGGAAGGTCGGTTGCGCAAAGTTGCCGCAAACGCGTCCAGGACTTGTGCATGAAAACTTCGGCGTTCATGGAACACGTACTATCATGGCAGTGGCTATGTATTGAAAGGAGCGGCAGCTTGGCCATGATCGCTTTTCACTATTCTCCTTCTGGAGTGGAACATGGCGCTATGTTCATGTGGTTATGAGCGAGCGAGCGAGAGAGGGAGGGAGGTGGAGACTGGTTCGACTTGGAGGGTGATGGCTAGCTAGATAGATAGATAGATAGATAGATAGATACATAGATAGGCCTATAATTTAGAAAGTGAGGGAGGTTCTGCAGTTCTAGCTACTACCAGTACTGTAATGCTTTTATTTTATTTTGTTTATTTATTTGTCCGATCGTGGATGCGATGCTCCGCTAGTTTGTAGTACAAGCACCCCGGGGGAGGCTGGCTTCATCGAATGTGATGCTCCGTTGTAGTACTAGCACTACCACGGGGGAGGCTGGCTTCATCGAGAGCCTACCGGACCCCGGCGAAAAGTTTTTGCCTTTATTTTATGTTATGTTATTTATGAAACGGTTTTCACCTCCAAGGTAGCAGATGCAAACCCGCCAGGGCTCGATCCCTAGACCTGTCCCGATCCCGTGTACAGTACAGTATGAACCCGTGTCCTGCCCCTAAAGTTGTGTGGTTGAGGCTGTTCTACATATCACGAGGGTCGCGTAGGTTCGAGCTGCTTAGTACCTGTAGGCTGTAGGGTAGAAGTCGCAGCGTGCGTCCAGTGGTGGCTGCTGTAGGTCTGAAGGGTCAACCTTAGAGGACTCGCAGCTGCTGCAGCACCGAAAGGGCAAGTGCCAAGTAGGTAGGTCTAGACTCTAGAGTCTTCTAGGACTGCCCCTTGGAGAGTCTTGGAAGGGGTCCGTAGGCAAGTGCGCAAGCGGGCAAGAGGGCAAGTGGGCAAACTCACCAGGTCCAGTCGGGAGTACCGAGTCCCAGTTGCACCTTGTCCAGTCAGCAAGTACCATGTGGGACTGTGTGCACCATGCGCCCGGTGGAAAGGGGGCAGAGCAGCGACCAACAGAAGTATAAATGAAGAGGCAGCGTCCAGTTATCCATTCATTCAGACTGTGAGCCGTGCCGAAGCGCTGGCTGAGCGACTAGTGCAAGGAGCAAGGAGGTCTGCAGGTGCCCGAGGAAGAAGTGGGCTGTGAGGGAGATGAAGCGGCTATAGCCGCTAGTTAGTAGGAGAGGTAGAAAGCAGCCATAGCTGCTCTAGGTTACTAGAGCTAGGCTACAGCGTATATGAGTGTGAGTGTTCAGTGAAGAATATGAGTGTGAGTGTTCAGTGAAGAATATGAGTGTGAGTGTTCAGTGAAGAATATGAGTGCGAGTGTTCAGTGAAGAATATGAGTGTGAGTGTTCAGTGAAGAATATGAGTGTGAGTGTTTTTCAGTGAAGTGTGTGCGAGTGTGGATCATCTAGGGAGATCCCGAGTAGCGTGTATGTGAACAGTTGCTGAGGATACAGTGTCGGAAGTTTGATGTGAGGGCGGCGCACAGGCGCCATCATAGCCATTGGAAGCAACTTGAATCGGAACTGTGTTCTTGGCCACGATATCTCCGAGCTTTCTGTGGGCGCCTGGAGCCAGTGTGATTGCCATCTGTTTTCATGCGCATGCTGAGTAAGGAAGAAGATGAGTCTGATTGCATTTATTTGTGGTTCTTGTTATTACTTCAGCTTTAAATTTCTTTTCTTTCTCTTGGTTTCAGTGTGAAGCACAACCCGCGGCCCCCAGGAGCCCTCTCAGACGTGCTTTGAAAACTGTGCAAGCAAGCGCAAAACTTTGAGACGGCGCCATACTTTAGCAGTACGCTGGACCCGGTTTCCAGCACGTGCTGCTCCCCACGAATAGATTGGAGCAAATTGTCCAAAAAAAAAAAAAAAAAAAAAAAAGTAGTAGTAGGATAGTAGCTTCATGGCGGCAAGTTGCTAGAACGTAGTAGGATGAAATAATACTAAATAGAGTGACTCGGTTTCGAAGCCACAACCAACCCCCGACTCAGCAGCAGTATTGGACAGAAGGGTAGAGCGTGGTGGCGTGGCACCGTGAAATTCAGTATTTCGTACTGTGTGAGATGTAGCGTTTTTTTTTTTTTTTTTTTTTTAAGAACACATGGAATTATATTCAAAACCATTCGTCGGAGGGCCGGGGACCCACAATTCAACCTGGTGTGAAAATTTGCGTTATCCTGGGGCAGGCTGTGGCAGCCTCAGCCAGCTTGGCTTGCGATCGCCTTCAGTGAAATTCAATCAAAGGAAAAGGAACCAATTAACAACAAACAAGGACCAACCAGGGGCTAGGTCCCGCTTGCACGAATTAAGCGATATTGACCGTAGATAGCAAAGATCAACGGCCAGAATCTCTTCATCCGTGCAAGTGGGACCTTGGCCCAGGACACCATTTTCCTCAGGCCATTATTGTCGGGAGCCGCCTGCAGAGGAGCTGCCATAGTTGGGCAGATATCGAAGTAGGGACTCAGTGACTCACTGCGGTCATTTGCTGTATGCTAGTACACTAAGTACAGTGAGGGCATGCTCACAGTAGGACGTCCCCACATGCATCTGACTACAATTTCGGCCAGAACTGAAAGAATCTGACCATAATCACGGGTCAAATGGGGAAAAGCTATAAAACCTCCCCGCGACGAAAACGAAACCTTCGTATTCATGTTTTTCCCCCCAGTCGGGGGCAAAATGTGCCGCGGGCCCCAAAATGACTTTCGGCGTCAATTTTTGCACCCTGTAAAACACTTTCCCGCCATTTTTGCACAGCGGGCCCAGCCAGGGTACAAATACTGAACTGACACGAAAAGCCATTTTAGGGCCTGCAACACTTTCTGGGGCCCCGCTTGGGGGGAAACTTATACAAAGGTTTCTTCGCGGGGAGCTTTTATAACTTTTCCCATCATCACGTCCAGAGCTTTCGTACGAAAAGTCCTTGTGTGAGTATGCCCTGACTTTTTTTTTTTTTTTTTTTTTTTTTTTTTTTTTTTTTTTTTTTTTTTTTTTTTTTTTTTTT